CGGTCAGGTAATTCAGAATCATCCCATTGTCAATAAATAGTGCATCATCCATGCACATATGTAGTAGGCCATAGTATGTGATATAGGAATAATAATAGGTGCCAGATAATGATATAAGCATAATTGGCTAGTACTAAAGGACCAGTCATATATATGAATAGGCCAAGTGCAGCTCGCCCAAGCAAAAATCATCCAGGGGAAGAACCTTGAATATACAATAGTATGGCCAAGTGAGGTTTGCCCAGAGGGAAGTACCTTGGATATATATAGGATTACTCCAAGTTTGGTCCACCCAGGAAAAAAAATCCAGGATAAAACACCTTGCTTAAGCATGTAAATTATGATCAACAAGTGTGGTCAGCCTGGGCAAAACATCCAGGGGAAGTGCATTGGATCAAGAATAGTATGTTATTGCCTATTAAATAATTATAATGGCAACAGTCCTCTTCTCGCTGAGTAGGTACTTATAAGTTATGAGTCTGATTTCTTTCATTTTACAACCCCACTCAGGAGGAAACCTCCATGGTCCACCACTCCAGCAACTGAGTGGTAAGGACTCCCATGCTCCACTAGAAGAAAAAACAGAGGTGAGAATATGCATTGGGTAGTCCAGGTGAACAACACACTGGAGACTGTGCAATGGGTGTCCGAGATTCCCTATTTTGAAAAGCAGAAAGATCCAGATTATACGAATCCTGGGTCAGTGGGAATGGGCAAAAATCCTCATCGGCTTTACCCATGAAGTTCATAAGTGATGGTCCTTTCTATAAAATACATTGATAATAAAAGTTTCATATATATATACATAACCACCAGAAAAAGGTAAATTGGTCTTATAGAAACACCTATCTTTACAGAGAGTGTTTATAAAAATACTTATTTAGCACAAAGATATAATATTCAGCATATCTGACCAGCAAACACCTGCCACTAGGTGGGATCATAAAATATGATGTATACCAACAGAAAAAGATACAAAATAATAACAGGTCAACTTTCTCCAGTCAAAAGCAAACAGACATATGGAAAATTGCCACAGGAAGAAGACACAGCCAATTCATGCAGATAGTATGCTAAGAATATATTGGGAGTTATCCACATACCCACTTGAATGATCTCCTCCAAAGGATCGATGAATTTGAGCAGCTGCGAACATAGCTTGGATTCGGTGCGATGATACATTGTATAGACTGCAGCCTTTCAAGGACAAGTCAGAATACACTAGCTGTACGAGTTGCCGAACCCGGCCACTAAGGGCAATAGGAGATAGGTCCTGGGAAACAGAGAGATTCCAGGGAATAAATAAGCAGGAATGGGAGCCACGGAAGAAAGCAGTACAAGATACAAAACAATGCAGGGAAAGCACAGGACAGAGAAGACGATCTGAAACTGAACATGAGTATAGGTGGGAAATAGAAGGTAAAGAAATGGGAGAAAAGCAAAACAACCTTCATGGGCAGCAACTCTCTTAGGAAGGAAGGCCCAATCCAGATAAGGATAACATAAGAGGAATAGTAAAGGATACGGGAAATGCTAATGGCATAAACATTAGAATGATGATGACCACATGCCAGGAGGAGAAGGAAATAGGTCTTAAGGGAGATGGTACAAGGAACACATAACAATCAGTACAAAGGAAGAACCAGGCAAGGTATAAAGAACAACACTGAGATTCTAATCTGAAAGTTCAAAAAGGACATGAAGGATGAACAACACGAGAGGAACAAAAAAGGAGGGAAATAATTGGGGAGCCAAAAGCTTTACAGAAGTGGGAGAAATGGAATGAGTTTCACAGAGCAGCCTGATAACTAGAAACCAATGACATGGACTAACCCTAAACAAACAAAAAGGTAAAGAATTGGGACACATAAGGAATAGAAAGATGGGAAGGATGGAAGCCACAGTAAATAGACCACTATCTGAATGTAGACCATCGTCTCTAGTACACAAACTATAAGGAAGGCTGAATGGTATGGGTAAGGAAAGATGCTACATGAGGAGTGAGTTCCTGAGCTGAAGTGAGGGACTGAACAAAAGCCATGCATGAAGATGAAGTTTGTTGACGTCTGATCACTGTTGTCAGAGGAGCAACCTGGACAGAGGTAAGGACCAGAACAGAGGGAACCATGTACGAGCCAGCCAAAACAGAGCAACTAGCAAAACCTGACAAGAGTTGTCTGAACGATGGAAATGACTCTGGAGATTAGTCTGAAAGGAGGATAGGCGTATAGATGAAAGTCCCTCCAAACCTGACTGGATTCATCCACCCTGAGCTGAGAGATGTGGAACAGAAGACCTAAAGGAAGGTACTTTGGCATTCCAGTGAGTGGCAAATATATGGTGCTCCTAGTCAAGAACACACCCACTGAAATACTAGAGGATGAAGGGGCCGTTTCGTAGGTAGAACTTGATTGGGAAGAAACCAGTGGTTGGTAACCAGATTCATAATTCCAGGAACATGACATGCTAAAATGATTAAAATGTAATCGTGGGCCCAGTACAGGAGTGTTTAAAAACACTGAGACCAGGGCTTGGTTCACCCTTGTTTGGTGATATAGATGACGACAGTCCAATTATCAGAAGGAACTATCACCACCCACCCCCATAGGAGCAAGAGGAAATGAGATATAGCCCAACAAACAGCCAAAAGTTTAAGTAGGCTGATATAGAATGTAGTTTCCATGACTGAGCATTGCCCTGAAATCTCCCTGGTTTCGAGGAAAACTCCCCAACCTACAAAGCATCTGTGAACAGGTGAGCATTGGAACGAGGCTGAGGAATGGGAACCCCCACTATGGCCATTTCCCTGTCGAGTCACCATGCAAGGTTGGCCCCAATCCCAGGAGGGAGCGTGATAGGATGATCCAAGAGCTCATGGGAGAACTTCCACTGGTCAATAAGCATCCACTGAAGGGAATGCATTTAGTGCATCTGATCCAAAGGAATGAGAGCTTCCAAGGAAGCCCTGGTCCCAAAAGAGGTAGAACCTCTCACATAGTGAGAGAAGGTGAATGTACTGCCTTCATGACTTCCCACTCCATATCCCTGAGCCGAAGTGGAGATGGCTGGGCCCAACTAAGATGGGAATTGAAGAGAACTCCTAAATGAATAAGATAGAATGTAATGGTTAGAAGGGACTTCTCCAACTTGATAAGAAACCCCACCCAAGCAGCTCCTCAAAAAAGTAATCGGATGTGAGAAACTTATTGGGCCTGGAAAGATGCAAGCAGAAGCCAACTGTCCACATAATGAGTCTGAAGCCCCAGCATGTGAAAATGATGAACAAACCACTCAACAGAGCACATAAGAAGCTGATGCCAGACCAAATGACAGTGCACAGAATTGAAAGACACAGCCCTCATAGATGTACCAAAGAAAATGACATAACCATGGAGCTATAAGAATATGAAAATAGGCATCTGCAACATCAAACTTGGTCATCCAGAATCCTGGAGAAAAACCCACTGAAGTGAGAGGTAGGACTCTATGTTGAACTGGGGTGTATCCAAAAAGGATTTCAGCTGGGACAGATCTATGATGGGTCTAATCTCCCATCTATCTGGAACAACAAATAGGTTGGAGTAAAATCCCAGATAAGTGGGCATGATCTGTTCGATACCTCTTGTGTAGGAGGTCCCAAACCAGCTCAGTGAGATGACTGCACCTGAAAAGGAAGGAAGGAAACCATGGAAGATGACAGGGGACCTAAACTTGTTCAGGCAAAAAGGAAAAAAGAACAGACTGTCAAGCAAAAGTGTCCAACTCCCTTCAATGTAAGGCTTGGATTTCCTCTCTAGATATCATCAACATACCTTGCTGGGAAATAGTGACAGTATTATCCTCAATATTGGCTGGAACTATATCATCTGACATGGTAAAATTCTAATTAATATTTCAAATTATAATTCAAATTATGGAAGAATTCTTCAAAAATAAAAGTAAAATTTGAAAGCAAACACTTTAAACTGGTGAAAGACTGAAATGCAAGCATATGGAGCAAAGTAAACACACATCTTTACACTGTAATGCCAATTGAGAAAGTGTGTATTGTGCTAGAATAATAGAGGGAGCTACCTGCACTAGTATAGATGGCACAGTATGATTGGTGTAGGGTAGTCACATGATATGCACATGTTCTCAAATGGTGCAAAAATAAAGGGTTATAATAGACTGGTGCACTATTAGTGAAAATTATTTTGGCAATGCATAGAGGGCAAATCAAGGTCAAGACAGCTTTGGGTGAGTGAAGTAGTACCATTTTGGAAGCAATCTAATATATCAAGAGTGTTACCATACTAATACAATCTAACATATTAAGATAGTTTCCATACTAATACAATCTAAAATATCAAGATAGTTACCACAATAGTACAATCTAACATATAAAGATAATTACCATACTAATACAATCTACATATCAAGATAATTACCATACTAGTACAATCTAACATATCAAGATAGTTACCATACTAATACAATCTAACATATTAAGAAAGTTTCCATACTAATACAATCTAACATATTAAGAAAGTTTCCATACTAATACAATCTAAAATATCAAGATAGTTACCACAATAGTACAATCTAACATATCAAGATACTGTAGTTACCATACTAACACAATCTAACATATCAAGATAGTTACCATACTAATACAATCTAACATATCAAGATAGTTACCATACTAGTACAATCTAACATATCAAGATAGTTACCATACTAGTACAATCTAACATATGAAGATAGTTACCATACTAATACAATCTAACATATCAAGATAGTTACCATACTAACACAATTTAGCATTATGAAAATATTTACCATTCTAGTCAACATGGAAAATTAAAAGTATTTCAGAAATTCAACCTTCAAGAGATTTCAGGTAATTAGTAAAATTATAATCATTATAAAATACTAATTTTGAATATATTTTCTGTCTATCGAAAACTGTAAAACATTAATTATGAATATCAATATACTAGAATATTTTTTATTCTTACTTGCCAGCCCTTGTCTGCAGTACGATAATATGGATAATTCTTTGTAATATAAGAATAAATTCCACTTAAAGTCAGCTGTTTGTCTGAAGCAGATGAGATGGCCTGTACTATAAGCTGAGCATAGGAATAAGGTGGTTTAAGGTCATCTTTTGAATTGGAGATTTCTCTACTTGTTGTAGCTGACTCACTGACTGTATCTGTTTGTTCTTTTCTTTCTTCTGCTGAGGCTGCTGCTGCATATGTTGCTGCCATCTGTAGGTCACTAGTGATATTGCGCCTGTGAGAACCTCCCCTGGGACTAGCAGGACACGAGTTAGCTGCACTATAAAATAACAGTTTAGATATAGAGCAAAATATATTAGCAACACTTCTACAAGTTTATAAGATAATTATAAAACCTTGCATCTTGATATTACTGAATAAAGGTACAGATAAAAAAAGTTGATCCAGGGGGCCTTGTTTCTACTCTGTCCACCATACAATATTTTAATCATGTTTTCAGACACATAATATTGTTGACACACAAAACTGTTGATATTTAATTTCTAAACTCTCTCTGAACCAGTCCTTTCTTTTAATCCCCAGTTTCAAATACACAAAACATTGCTACAATACACAACACACATAACACTGGTACAATACAGATTCACAAAACACTGCTACAATAGATTTACAATATACATAACAGTGGTACAATACAAATTTACAATATACATAACACTGCTACCATAGATTTACAATACACATAACACTGCTACAATAGATTTACAATATACATAACAGTGGTACAATACAAATTTACAATATACATAACACTGCTACCATAGATTTACAATACACATAACACTGCTACAATAGATTTACAATATACATAACAGTGATACAATACAGATTTACAATACACAAACAGTGGTATAATATACATAACACTGCTACCATAGATTTACAATACACATAACAGTGGTACAGTACAGATTCAGAATACACATAACATTGGTACAACAGATTTACAATACACATAACACTGGTACAATACAGATTGACAATATACATAACACTAGTACAATATAGATTCACAATACGCATAACAGTGGTACAATAGATTCACAACACACAACACTGGTTCAATACAAATTAAATATAAACATAATACTGGTACAATACAAATTAAATATAAACATAATACTGGTACAATACAACTTCACTACACATAATACTGGTACAATACAGATCCACTGCACATAATACTGGTAGAATACAGATTCACTACACATAATACTGGTTCAATACAGATTCACTATAAACATAATACTGGTACAATACAAATTCACAACATATAATACTAGAATAATCAATTAACTAATTACCTTTACATAATTACATACAACTCAACTAAGATGTGTTTGCAACATCTACACCTTATTTCCTTCTAAAAGTAACTATATATATATATTTACACATATATAACTATTTAAGACATTTATATTAATGAAGAAGAAAGATATAACGATTTTGTAAGATTATCATTCTTTAAAGAAGCCATCAGCACTTTACAGTTGTATACATACATAATACTTATATTTAGTAAAAACACCTTACAGTTCTATAAGTAAGCAGCTGTGCTCTTCACCAACAATATCATAATGTACTAATTACAGAACTTGTCCTAAGTAACAAGAGAACAGGTAATATGATGTAGAGATGAAAGAAGATCTTGTCTTACCTGATGAACCAGAGGACAGGTAATATGATGTAGAGATGAAAGAAGATCGTTGTCTTACCTGATGAACCAGAGGACAGGTAATATGATGTACGTGTTACAGAAATAAAAGAAGATTGTTGTCTTACCTGATGAACCAGAGGACAGGTAATATGATGCAGGTGTTACAGAGATGAAAGAAGACCGTTGTCTTACCTGATGGTGGCAGTTGGAGATGGAACAGGACTTGCCATGTTTTGCTCTGGTTCTGGTATGGTTATCTTGAGTGGTTTAGGTGAGTCTGGAAACTGGTAGTGGATTGGGGGATTCAGCTCATCAACCAGGGACTGGAACATAACCTTGATACTGGTACTTGGAAACCTAAAGACACACCTAAAGCAGAAAAATCAAAATTTACATATTATATTTGGAGAAATAATTACCAAACCACTAGGAACTGGGGTTTAGTTTAAAGAAGTCTTTTATACATCAACTTGGACCAGGCATTCAGAATGTTTATCAACAGTCATTATGGGGAAAATTACCAGCAAACACTGTTCTACACATTCCAGAATTAAGACATATTTAAAAAATAATTTATAAGATCATTACCAAACCTGTCACAATAGCAGTACCAGAAAACTCACAATTCCAAAAAAAAAATAATCAGTTTCCTAGCAAATCACTCATATATGGTTTTCAAGAGACAAAAAGTACAATTTTCCTATAATGAAAACGTATTTCCAATGGGTACTTTCCTCCGCTCACAATATTAGTTAGTCTCATCCAGTGCTGCCCTATATATGCAAATTGTTTATGCATGCCAGAAGTTTTCTGATTGCCCCTATACAACAGTCCTACATCAGTTACTAAAAATGTAAATAAATTAGTTCCAGTACATGTATACACCAGTCTTACATCAGTTACTAAAATGTAAATAAACTAGTTCAAGTACGTGTATACACCAGTCCTACATCGGTTACTAAAAATGTAAATAAACTAGTTCAAGTGCGTGTATACACCAGTCTTACATCAGTTACTAAAAATGTAAATAAACTAGTTCAAGTACGTGTATACACCAGTCCTACATCGGTTACTAAAAATGTAAATAAACTAGTTCAAGTGCGTGTATACACCAGTCCTACATCGGTTACTAAAAATGTAAATAA